TCGGAGATATGCACTGTCCCAGGCATTTCAATGGAGTGCTAAATTAGATTCCAGCCGACACTGTTAATTATTTCACCAGCTATCAAAGCCTGTAAGAAAAGCAAGGAAGTATAATGAAGATCTACATTGGCATTGCCCAAAATGGGGGAATGCAAAGGACTAGCTGGGGAAGGAGAAGGCATAGATTAGAAGATGTATAAATGAAGATCTGTAGGCCGCTAACAACACGACAGGTTGGCAGACATGATTGTGTTTTCCTGAAGAAAGAGCTCAACTTTCAAAATTTTTAGAAACATTGCACAGGGAATGGAAGAGCCACACAATCTAGATCATATAAAGCTATAAGACCTGATATTGCAGAGACTTACACACCGGAATAACTTCACATACTAATAGTCTCAATCTCCGGACCCAACTTTCTACAGTTCTTCCCACTTCATCTAGAAAACATATAACAGTGATACAAGGAGCTACAGTAGTCCAGGCCCTCCTGGATATTTATGTAGTCTAGTCTCTCCACAGTTCCTCCTGTCTCTGTATTACTGATACCACAGAAGATACGAGAAAACACAGAAAAAAGTAATATCCCCTTCCATGGGCCACAATGTGGCACAAAGCAAGCTGCATTTTGAGCACCCTACCGTAACCATGAAAACATATTTTCTTCCCAGCTTAATTTCCCTTTTGATAAGATGACTGATGTAATTTGAAAAATGTATATAATTAGTTTGACCATTAAATACTTTAATTTACTTAGAAATCTTGTTAAAGCTACTGTGTTGTTTGCATAACAACCCCTTGGAAGCTTAGTAGTGATTTCATTTTACTTTATATCAAAACTTTGTGTTCTTCCAGCATGCAGTTTTACAAGTGATAGGCTGATGGAATTTGGAAAAGTTATTTAGTCTAAAAGAAAAGCATTAAAGCTTTTGTTTTGGGAAGGAAAAAAGCCATACAGGTGAATAATGATATGGACATGGCATTCAAGTTGGGATCTACCACCTCCAAGAGTGCCCTTTTAACTGCATCATGTCATATAGGTAGGACCATTAATTGCAATCTGTACTACATGAAAGGGAACATGCTTCTTATTTACAGAGTACCAACAGCATGATAGGCACTTGACAGACAGCTATGAAGACAAGATCCCTGCCCTGAAGAGAGAGTGCTCAAACTCAGCGACAGCAATGTGATGCAACAAATAGTGTTTCATCTCACATTATTTTAATTTCAATACTTCTACTTAGATTTTTTTTAAGGTGGGAAAAGGAAAAAAAAGGAGAGACATCACAACCTGTTACCTTGGTTTTAAAAAACTCCACTGAAGACATTATACTTTATAAAGATATAAAGAGAGACCATTATGAGATTTTTAAATTTCTAACCCAGAAGTGGTTTCATTTAATTTCTCTTGTTATGCAACTTAATTCCTGTTGTTATGGTGGGCAGACAATTAACTCCAGGACGAAAACTCAATAGTCCACTAATTATACAGATTAACTGATCTTTGCTTCCAATTCCTTTCTCCCTGCCCCCTTAGCAACTTAAACATGACCTAAAGATCCAACGCAAGTGCTGATTTCTTTAGACAGTTAGACAAAAGAAGCCTGCAAGCCAGTACAACGTCTCTCTCTGCATGCAAAGCTGCAAGCTAAAAGTTTTCACTCTTTCTTTTGGGTGGGTGTGTATGGAGAGGTGTGGAGGTGTAAAACAAAGTTAAGATGGAGTACTTAAATTGGTTATATTTAAATATGAGTACCACTGGTTAGTCTTACACGGGCGGGGGGACACTGCAAAATTACAGTGTGTGCATTTGAAAAGAGACACAGGAACAGCAACTGCCCTCTAGCTATCAGGGGATTTACCATGCATTTTTGACTAAGCCTCAAACCCAAACCAAAGTAACATCCTCATATATACACAAAGAGTCTTATTATGACAGCTTCCCTTCCAGGGAAAAGAATCTTTCAGTAGTCACATGACCATTGAAATCTATGTTCGGTTAAAAAAAAGGAGCACCAATGCAACTCATAATAAGCATAAGCTTTGTGACTAGAAATATTTAGCTGAGTATTTCTGGGACTGCAGAGTCACTGATATAGCTGAATTCTATTTCAGGCTGCCCAATATCAAAGTCTCACTGTTTGTACGCTGTGACAACGTGTTGTTGCACTATCAAGCATCATTACCGGATTAGACACTAGAAGTGCTACTTATTGCTGGTAAGAGCTTTTAATGTTAGACACAAGGGCAAACACTGTCTAGCCTTACTCACGTGAATAGTCTTCAACAGGAAGACTCATATGAGCAAAGTTTTGAAGGGGCATAGCTTGCAGGCACAGGGCCTAGAACGGCTAACAACATAGGAGAGGAAGATGAACAGTGGCAAGAAGGAGTAGTAAGAAAGTGAAAAGGAATAAAAACTAAAGGCAAGTCTATACTACAAAATTAAGTTGATCTAAGTTACATCGACGTACAGCCACCGTAGTAATTAAATCACTTTTGCATGTCCACACTCTGCTCCTCATGTTGAGGGTGCATGTCCACACCAGGAGTGCCTCCACTGATTGAACTGTCAGTGTGGGGCATTGTGGGAGGGCTTTGGAAAAGCTGCAACAGTTGATATAAGCAATGCAGTATCTACATTCACACTGCATCGACTTAACTACATCGACCTAAGGGCTATGCCTCTCATGGAGCTAGAGTTATTAAGTTGCTGTAATGGGTGAATTACATTGGTGGGAGCTACATTTTAGAGTAGACACCTACAGAGTTAGGTCGATGTAAGCTGCTTTACGTCAATCTAACTCTGTAGTGTAGACCAGGCTTAAAAGGGAACATTTTTTTAAAAAATGGATGGAAGCAGAGCTACCACTAAGAAAAGATCCACAAAGAAACAATGGCTCATCAGTTTCCAAAGACAAGAACAACCATCTCTAGAAAAGTCAACTCAGGCTTTCGGAAGCAGAAAGACTAATGAGGGAGGGCTGAATCCTCTGATTAAAGACAATCAAAAAAAGAGGAACAAAGTTTACTATAGAATGTTTGACCCCTATTTTGCATCTTTGATGGGACGCTGCATCTACTTGACATTTTTTAATTGAATCCTGGTACTGGTAGAGGTGAGTTGCTGCTGCTTCATTTTCAAACCTCCAAACTTTCAGTATTTTGAACTCATAAGACTAGGGTACATCTAGTTAATGAAATATCTATTTGATAACAGCCGAGTACTGACCATTTAGCAGAGTTTAAAAAAAAAATCTGTTTCTGAGTCTATCTTGTATTACTGAACAAGACACTTTACATTTCTCATATCCTCGCTCCTCATCAAAAGGCAGAAATGGTCCTTACCTCAATTCAACTCATGCTTGCCGGGTTCAAAACAAAAGTACAGAGCCACACTACAACTAAAAGGAAAGCGGGAAACGGAAAGCTGAGAGTGTGATTACTCACTACTAGGAAAACATGATTTTTATCTCAACATCTTTGCTTTCACACTGAAGAATTTTGAGTTTATTATCTAAGTTTTTATAAGATTGCCCATTAGCCTGGTATCTGGTTGCCTGCCACAAAAAGTAAAACACAAAAGTATCAAAAAAAATTTAAACTCCCAATTAAAATATTTGTTAAATTAAATTATCAATCTAGTGTCAGTGTGCTCACTCTCAGTAGCACTCTTGCTTCTAAGCCAGACCAGAAAGCTCAAGTCCCAGTTTTAACAACATATCCAGTATTATACCTGTTGAGCACTATTAGGGGCTGCCACACTAGTAAAACTGGTGTCTTTTCTCTACACGTATTGTATATTAAAAATGTCAAGACATTTCCCCAAATGGAGTAAGGATCTGGACAACCTTCCCTTTCTCAGTAAGGATTATTTCATATCCAGACTGTGTGAATTATTGCTGAGTACTTAATGATGCCACGTTGCTATCCCAGCATCAGTATCTGAAGTGTCTGTAATGCACTTTGGGACATCTAAAGCACTGAAGTCAGTAAACAAAATCTATTTTTATTTCATTTCAATCCAATATATAGAAGGAAAATCTGCCATACTGCCATTTATAGAACATGCCTCCAGTGCTAACACTAAAGAAAACAAGTTGTCAAGTCACACCTTAGTCTAACAGATAGGATTAAAAAAAGAACTGCAACACATTTAATAAATTAACCGTTGAGATCCCAAGTCACTAAACGGAATGTGCATGCTGTTTTAAATTACTGATTATGGCTTATCTGTAACAGAATATTTGAAAACCTTTATTTCAATATTGTATATCCACCTTAATCCAGAGGGGTAGAGGATTTACTGGGAGGGAAGGGGTTGGGTTTGGAAGGGTGCAGAGGAGGTATCAGTGTTACCTCGAGAGAGGAGGATGCCTCATTACCATCTAAGGCAGAATAAGGAGACAGATGCTCCTGATTTCGGTGCCTGGAATATGTCACCCACTCTTGTCGGCTACCAGGGAATCCTGGAGCTGGGTTAACGCCTATTCAGGTTTAGTGGCTGTTCCACTGCATCCATGCAAGTGTTACTAAGACAGCAGGACCGAGCAGCGGAGTCGGACCCGGACCCCGGCCCTAACCGGGGCGATCCGGATCAGGCTGTGCATGCGCTATCCCAGCCTTACACGGAGGAGCTTATGCCACAGCTCCCCTAAAGAGCATTTTCTAAATCGGGGGTGGGTGGGCAGTAAGGACCGAGGGCAAATATTCCCTGTCCCCAAAGGGCGAAGGTGCTTCGCTGGGGTGGAAAAAAACATCGGCAACTTCTGCTGCTGCCTCACAGCCGGGCCCGGGACACGTGGAGGCCTGAAATCAGACAGCCGGGGGGATCAGTGCCTGGCGAGCGGCTGCGGCGGGGGGAGGCCGCCTGGAGCGTGGGGAGCCAGGGCACAGCCCGAGGATCTGTCCCGACTCGGGCCAGCCCGGCAGCACATGCTGCCCGCGCGCCGGGGGGAGAGGCCGGCGCTGCCCCGGCCCGGGGACGTTGCACTCACTTGCAGCTCGGGCCTGGCTTTGGCCGGGGGCCTCCCGAAGAAGGAGGTGCGGGCGGTGAAGAACTCCTCGGACTCCTCCTCCTCCAGGCTGCTGTAGCCGCTGCTCATGCTGCTAGTCCAGGGCAGCGTCAGCGGCCGCCGCTGCTGTAGGGGCCCGCAGGCGGAGACCCCCTTCCCTGCCGCCGCATGGGGGCCCGCTGCTCTCCCTCCCAAGGCTTCCGGGACGCGGGAGCAACAGCTGATGCGGCTGCAGCAGCTGGCTCCCGCCTGCCCAGCCTCCCTGCAGCACAAGTTCACACGGGGCAGCGCAGCCCAAAGGGGAGCTCCGGCTACAGCGCCGCCCTCGCCCCTGCCTCCTCCCCCGGCAACAGGGACTGGCCTGACGGCCGGCAGCGCCCCCGCCTCGCAGGAGGGGGCGGGTGGTGCAATGCAAACAGCCCGGAAGCCCCCGGCGCCTCTCCCTGCTCACCTTGGGCTGGGATGGACTTTAGTCCCCGAACAGCAGGTGAGCTGGGCGGAGGCACCGTCTCCTGCAGAGCCAGCGCTGGGCAGTTCATTTCTATGCAACTAACTCCACATCCAGCGCTCGCGCAAGCCTCTGTTATGGACGCCTGGGGTGAGAGTGGGATCGGTAACGGGGAAGGAAGAAGACAGCGCAATGGGAGAGCCAGTTTGATAGCTCAAAACCCTCCAACTTCAGTGCGTTGATTACTTACGTTGTGCCAATAAGCTGCCAGCCAGGCACTTCAGCAGGAAGAGCGAAGACAAGAGACCAGGCCCGCCCTTTTCTGCTCTGCTCTCAAACTAGCATCCAGGCAACAAAAACCATTTTAACTCCCACCACTTATTTCAGGCGAAGTCTGGGTGTACACATACTCTTCTTGGGAAATAAAAGTGGCTTATGTTTCTGTCTCTCTAACCAACAGGGTTACAACAAAACTGCAAATCCAAAGCCTGTGACTGCCAGATGCTGGGGGACTGGATGACGGGATGGACCACTCCATAATTGCCCTGTTCTGTTTATTCCCTTTGAAGCATCTGGCATTGGCCACTGTCTAAAGACAGCATACTGGGCTAGATGGGCCATTGGTCTGACCCAGTATGGCCATTCTTATGTAGCTTGTCAGTTTTACTTCAATTTAGTTTAAAGCAATTTTCCAATTTAAGCAAAATCAAACACTGTTATTCCCCAAGAAGAATGTCCACCCCCAGACTGGCACTGTGGTAACAAAAGGTGTGAATTAAAACTGGGGCAAGTCTGTGCATACACCAACTCTCAGATAGGGGGTAGGGTGTCTGTCTTCACACATGTCTTTAAAGTGTCTGGCATGCTATTGGCACAATATAAATATCAATTCACTTGGCGTTTTGGGGTCCTTGTACCAACAAACTGTCCATCCACACACATTGGTTGCTTCCTTCCCCATTACTGACTAGCCCTAGAGTATTCTAGTCCAGGATAGTCCTAAAGCAAGATGCACCTAAACAATAGAGATAAGGGAACCCACAACCAACAAAGCAATTAGGCATAAGAATTAGTAACTGTGTTGCTGGGTCTACAACTTTTGTTTAGTTGTTTTTAAAAGTTCTCTCCTTGAAGGGATGATTAGGAGATACAGGCCTTTGGGAGGAGTGATATTTAAGGAGAGACCTGAAGAAGGAGCGGATGAAGGAATGGCAATCAAGCTGGGAATTTCAACTACAGCATTGGCAAAGGTGTGGAGGCAGGAGTAGGAGGCCCAAAGGGGGGCAGTTATTTGAATGGCTCAGTTGGGGCAAGAGTGAAAAGAGATCAGTGCAGAGAAGTAGGCTGATGGTTACTAGATTTTTTTTAAATTTTCCATTTCCATCATTCTCCACTGTCTTTGCAAATGGCCTCATCCATTTCATGAAGCTCTCCATTTCCATGCAAGCAGAGACATTTAGGTGGGACTGTTCTCCAGAACACTCTGCAAAAGAAACAAGAGATCCCAGATTTTCCCCCAACTATATCATATATTTGATCTTTTTAAAAAAAAGGTTTTGAAGGCACACTGAACTGTGAGTTACACTTGCACCAACACTTTGATCTTCCTCTTCCACCCACCTCAAGTGCACTTTTCCTCCAAGTCTTTCTGCCCCCTTCCAAATGGATTTCATTTTACCTAAATCTTCCTCCAGGTATGCTTTTCATTTGCTTATTGGGCATTGGATTGGGTCCTGCACAGACTACCAGGCACAGATTTTTTCTTACTCGCCCTGACAAGCTTTACCAATTAGTTAACCAAAAAAAGTAATAGTGCATACTGAAAACAACGATCCACAGTTGGAAGATATACTTACTGATAACTCTGCTGAAGGCAGGTTTGTTTTTGTGCAGAATTAATGAAGTGTTATCTGAACATAATGACGTGAGAAGTCAAGGAACATGGCAAAGATTTAAACAACACTTACAAGCATTATGCAGCATAAAGTTAGTTAGTGTTTGTGAAACAGATGTATAGAGCTGTATAAATGCTGCAATACGTGGAAGAGAAAGGAGGCAAAGGGGGTGAATATCTATCTAGGAAAAGCTCAGTTCAAACATAGCATATTTTTCTATGGCAGAAGTGCTAGATGTTCAAGTGGTTCCCAAAGTCAGATGGAACAAGCGTCACAGCCCATGTAATCAACCAGAATTCCTGCTGGTTTCTGTTTGCTTAATGAACTGTCTTTACTAACCATATATTTTCTCTTGAACAACAATAGCAAATCATAATATAATAATTGGGTCATATTCTAGAATGCATTGGCTGTCAATCAGTCACAGAAAGAAAGAAAAACTAAATCTGCTGAGAAATAAGTCTGGCAATCCATTGTTGTGATCATTTGAGCAACTGGCAAGAGGATAATAGATAATGGAGAACACATTTTAAAAAATTAAACAGAATTGAATCCAAATAATACTACAAATACCCACATAAGAGGACTAGAGAACAACATCATTTTATAAAAGCATAGTGTCTATAGAAATCTAATTTTAAAAGAGGTTTTTAAACTACTGCCCTTCTAAGGTCAAAATAAGTTAAAAAGTTTGTGAACCAAATAATACATCTGCGACCAGAAATAGTAACAGGCATACAGTGTTCTGGAACAATGTTCTCATGAATAATCATTAATATAAAGCAAGTGCAGGAAAAGATGAACTTTGTATAATACAGCTGTATCTTACACAAAGAACAAGATGAATATTTTCCATTATAGGTAGAGCTAACCTGCAGCCTTATACTTGCATCAAGGATTTGGAAGTTCACTTTATTGAAATGCAACACCAGGTTCAGCTTCATAAGAACTGCACAGTTAAAGCTGAAATTTTCCTTATAACAGGAAAACAAACATGAACATTTTGACTAACCTGGCAAGGACTCTGAATTGTCAAACATCATTTCATGAAGTCAGATATCTAATTTAATAAAGGTGGACTGTTCTTCAGAGTCTAGTGACTTCATTATGTAAACATTTTTTGTTTGCTTGCATTAAAGTAGTAGTTTATTCACTGATAAAAAAAACTCTGTGGAGTTTATATCAGTTCCAGCAATAACTGTGTTGTGTTTGCTCTTGCTTTCTGTGTCAGATGATTTAAGAGTGTGTAATCTCATCAAAAAGGAAATTTACCAGACACTCACTGGCCAGTTGGGGTGGCCTAGTAATAGTGCTCTGCACCACCGGGCAGAAGACCCAGCTCCATAAACCAGTCCCAGTCTTTTCTCTTGCTCACAAGGCTGGAGTATGGGAAAGGTACTGGGCCCTGGGAAGCAAGGAAGTAAAAGATGGGGTGAGGCTTAGAAGGTCCTACGTCGTTTAAGAATAACTGAGCCTCTAGCTAAACAACAAAACAATCGGAAGGAGAGCAGAGTTTTAAGCATGTACATGACTTTGACATTGAAGATAATAGGTCTGATCCTGTGCTGCATCCTTAGATTCTGGGCTGCTCAAAGGTCCAAAACAGTCCCTGGCAATCTCCCAAGAGCTATGTCACAGCCCATAATCTCCATATTGCAATGTCCTATAGGCCCTCTCCCTCCCCAACTCTCCTGCACAATATCTATGCCAGGGCCTGTGAGGGGGTGTAGCATTGGACCACTTCTGGTGGCTCTATACCATGCCTGTCTCAGAGGAATCCTTTCTCAGTTCTTTCTAGTGCTTGCTCCATTCTCTGCCCAAGTGACATATGGGGGCACAGTGGGGGACAGAGCCTGTCCCATAGGGACTACTCCGTCTCCTGTGCATAAAGTTACGCATGTCCTTAAGTCTTTGAAGGATCAGGTTAATGCCTCCTAAAAGGTGTAAAGCAGGTGACAAGGGAGAGAACCATAGGGCACTGAAAGGACTCCCAAAAGCAAAAGCAAACCCTCCACCATAAAACACCTCCCCAAAAATTCTGCTCCTGACATTTAGAAAGCTAAAAATACACAGATTAATGAAGGAAAATCCAACTGTATTTTATAAGCACATGTTCAGCAAGATATCACTGAGCTAAGAAAAGAGAAGGAATTGATGAGCTGCAAAAATCAGAGGCAATCAAAGTAAATTCATCCCCAAAATTAGAGAGCGCTCTGAGGCATGTCATTGATTGCATTAAAAAAGTGACTGAGGAAAGATGAATGTATTAGTTTCCTGCAATGTTGATTATAAATACAATATCTGTGATTGATACTGGTAACTACTGTATGTTATTACAACATACACATTTCTAAAATATTGTTTTATAAGGATGCTAATAATTTCGGTAGGATATAATTCTGAAAGCTAATTTCATTGTAAATAGTATTACAGCTAGTCTGCAATCAGCATTCTGAAATACTGAGAAGAATTGTAAATTAGAGGGTTACTAATAAAATAGGAAAAGCTTTGAACAGAGAGTTAATCCTTCCTGCCAAATGAAAAAGATTCAGGTTCAGATTCTATCAACCTGATAGTCATTCAATTGGTAACAGAGCACTGATAAACTGTTACAAGGCTGCTGGGTATCCTGATTTTTCTTCAAAACTTAAAAAAGCCAAATATTCATATCCTCTAAATTCTGTATAACAAAGTATCTTATTGTCTTTTCTTGTGAGGTATGCTAAGAAATCCCAGATAGTATTAATTGGTAATAGAGACGGATTTAATGTTTGGATCTCTGTCTTGTAACTTTAAATAGTGTTTGCTATATCTTGTGTACCCAGATATCATGGTTGAAATAATAATAATGAATAATAAATAACAATAGTTAGTAAAACTTTCCTTTCACAAAGTTGTTGAATGCTGCTGAGCCCCTCTGATCAGTTGTCATCCAATAGTCTTTGTTCAGTGCTGATACCACTGAAACATCATCTATATTTTCCCTTCTTTTATCAAGATT